GTAGGAGTCGGTTCTCTTCTTCCACCATGTGGGTCCCAGTGGGGATTCAACTCAGATTGTTGGGCTTGCTGAGCCAACCTGGAGGCCCCAGATTTTTATCGGTTTCATATATTTGTGTCACTGATCCAATAAGATTTATTATTTATTCATTTATTTTGTGTTTTTGAACAGCGACTCTCTATAGCCCCAGCTGGTGACCTGGAACTCTGTGCAGGCCAGGCTGGCCTTGATCTCACAGAGTTCCACCTGCCCCTACCTCCCAAATGCTGGGATTAAAGGCATGCACCACCACGCCTGGCTCCAGAGGACTACTTTTGATAGTAGTCCCTCTTCCTTGTGAGTTCTGGAGATCAGATTGTCAGGCTTGGGGGCAGGCGAACTTTACCCACTAAAGTCATCTTGCTGGCCTAGGTGTGAGAATTTTGGTACGAGTTGCAGTGAAACTATAAACTGCCTTTGGTAGTATTGCCATCTAAATAATATTACGAGCAGAATTTGGTGTACACACCTGTCATTCCAGCACTTGGGAAGTGAAGGCAGGAGAATCAGGAGTAAAGAATCATCTTGACTACATAGTGTAGTCAAGCCCAGGCTGGACTGGGCTATATGAACCCTGTCTCAAACAACAAAAACCAAAATAGGGGCTAGAGACATGACTCAGAGGTTAAGAACACTGGTTGCTTTTGCAGAGGACCTGGGTTCAGTTCCCAGCATCCATATTGTAAGTATGATAGTTGTAAGTAACAACTATCTGTAACTTCAGTTCTAAGAGCTCTGACTCACTCTTCTCACCTCATGGGCATTACATGCACATGGTACATTAAACACTCATACACATAAAATCAAAATAAATAAGAATTTAAAAACAAAAATAGGGGCTAGAAATGGCTCAGCAGTTAAGAGCACTGGCTGCTCTTCCAGAGAACTAAAGTTTAAGTCCCAGCACCAACATGGTGGCTATGGATGGACCATCCATTCATCCATAACTCCAGTGCCAAGAGATCTGATGCCCTCTTTTGGCCTCTGTGAGCATTACATTGCAAATGTTACACCTACATACATGCAGACAAAACACCCACACATAAAATAAAAATTAATTTTAAAAACAAAGTATTCTAATCCACAAGTATGGGGTATCTTTCAATTCATATAGATCTTTTACCTATCTATCTGTCTACATATATATATATATAAATTTTTTTTGTCTGGCCTGGAACTTGCTATGTGGACCAGGCTGACCTTGAACTCACGGAGATCCTCCTGCTGGAATGAAAGGCATGGGCCACCACACCCTGCCCTATAAATTATTTTTTCAAATCTCTGTTCAGTTTGTTTGTGTCCAGTGTGTTGTGTTCATTACCAGTAGTGAGTAGACACACAATTGTTTTTTAAGATAGGGTCCCGTTTTTCCTAGGTGGGCCTCCTCCAACTCCTATGTAGCCTAAGGCTGACATTGAACTTCTGATCCTCCTACCACTACCTATTGAGTGCTGGGATTACAGGTGTGCACCATTATACCCAGTTCTTAAAAGTGTTCTTTTGTGTGTGTGCTGATCTGTACCCTGTAGCTTTGCTGAATATGAATTTTATTAACTCCAGAAATTAAAAAAATTCTGGATTCATATCCTGGCTCTATCACTTACCAGCCAAATAACTTTGGACAGTCACCTCACTGTTTCCTCATTACTTATCCACGTTGAAAAATGAGTCCGGGTTACAGTTCAGGTGGTAGAGTGCTTGCCTGTTATGCACAAGTCCCTGGATTTGATCCCCAGCACAACATAATCCAGGGATGGTAGTAAAATCCTGTAAGGCAGGATGATCAGGAGTTCAAGGTCATCCTCTGCTTCATACTGACCTCAAGGCTAGCCTGGATTACGAGACCCTGTCTCAAAAAAAA